AAAAAAAAAAACCAGCTCACTACTTGAAAGTTTCATGGTTCTTGAGCATTTGAATTGTGAGCCCTGGTTTCCTTCCTTCCAGTCATATTGCACATTATTGAAAAGAAAACTTTGGAATTCATGCAGAAAAGAAAAAGTGCTTGAGCAATGGCCAGTGCCTGCACGGCCCAGGCAAGAAGGACCTGAGGACTGTTTCAACACTGCAATTCGACAGGCTTGAGAAATCCTGGTTGCTGGGAAGCCTTTGCACAGATTGTCCCTGCAAATGCTTTTACCAGGTCACTCTGTCCTTTTCCTAATTCAAACTGCAATTATAGAGATGATAAAATGGAAAATAAATATATATGCAGTAGCTGAGAAAAACCAATTAGTTTTGCACCAGTGAAAAATAATGCAGAACTCCTTGTGTCTTTAACAAACTGGCTCTCAATGTATATTGTAGTGCATCTTCATGATCCAAATATGCTTAGGAAGAGCATGACAACAAAATATATGTTGGAAGAGTAATAAAGGAACTAATGCAGTAAAGTTACTATATTTTATTAGTAAAAAAAACCAATTAAAATGATATCCAGGTAGTAACTTAGGAGCCAAATGTCATAGCTGTCTCTTTTGCTGCCAAAATATGTGTACTCTCTTCCTAACAGTCTCTTTCCCCAAGGAAAAATAAATGTGTCTAAGAAATACTTGTTAGCAATGCAATTACAGGCTTAATTCCCCAACCAACTTCAGACATCATAAAAACAAAACCAAGCAGAAGCCCTTTGCAATTGCAATGGAAAAGAGACAGAAAACCACTAAATGCTCCAAGAAAGATAATATATTTTTGTAACAAAAGCTGACACACTCTTTGACAATAACATTTGAGATGACATTAGCGTTTGTTTTTCAACTGCACTGTCTTTTTCTTTTAAGCTACAGCCTAGAATTAAAAACTTCTTCTAAGGGTAGACTGTGCTACTCCTGAACAGGACTTTTGGGACACTCAGACACCAAAGTAGCTTGCCAGACTCTCAGAAAAGCAAAGCAGCTTTGTATCAAAATAACATTTCTTGGTACTACTTACTTCTGAAGGTCTGATTTCTCCAAGGAACTTAATGAGAGCTGGGTTATTTGTACGATGTGGATCCAACCATGAGAGATGAAACACTGGGAAGATGATTCAGAACACTTCTGAAGTGTTGGTGCTAACAAAATGAGACCAAAATGAAAGTTTGAATAAATAAGATGAAAAGGAAAAAAAATGCTAAACCTTACCTTTTTTTGTTTGTTTTTTTTTTTTCCTGCTACCATACAGAATAGATCCATATTCATATCACAGCTTGGAAAGAAAACCTTCAAGAGGCCTGGCACAAACCATGGGAAGTTCGTAGCTGTGCAAGCCTCATGTCTGTGGTATTCTTCAGGATTCCTGCTCTGGGGTCTAGATTCATCCATATCTCCTCATGTATTTACCACTGTGCTCCCTGCCCAGCCTGGGCACCCTGGGCTCTCTCACTATCCAGAGCAGGGTCTTGAGCTCCTCCAGAGATGCCTGTCTAGGGAGGGTCTGTCTCATACCATTGGTTTCACCAGGGGAAACTCTGAACTTGGACACTTTCCTGTGTGGGGAATAGATGTCTGATACTCCTGATCTGAAGTTCCAGGTTCTGCAGAAGGATTCCCACTTCATTTGGTAGCAACATAGACTTTTACTGTTGGAGGTGCAGGTGTACACCACAAAATAGTGCCACACTGTGCTCCCGCTAGATCCTCACTTCCAATGCAAACTTGAATTTCTTTGACAAGTGGCTGAAAAGTCTTTTTCTCCCCAATGAGTTTGTGCAATTTAAAATCCCATCTAAAACACTGCAGATGACTTCTACCTCTCAGTTCAGTTACTATCAAAAGTTTCCATTCTTTTGAAATGCTGGCAGCAAACCCAAGATAAATATATTGAAGTTTAAAAATTTATTATTTTAAAATATTTAACATTAACACGTTTTTAATGATTTTTAAATTGGATCTAAATCAGGGTAGATATTTTCCTTTTGACACTCACTTATAAAAGGTTACTCTATTCATAGGTTCACAAGAAGAAGAACGTGGTTTTTCTTTCAATTTGTCTTGCCTCCAGCCTTGGATCACAAAATGACAGATGGCTGGAAGGCACTGGAGCTTCACTGGGTGAAAAAGCATATTCTCACTATGAATATAAAAACTGTAATAACTAAGCCCCAGAAATCAGAAATGCCAGGATCCCTGGGTTACAGGCAATACAGTATAGAGCTACTAGAGCTGATGCCAGAGAAAGGTAGAGAGGAACTTTGCAGATGATCTCTAAGATGTCTCATGGCTCATAAAAATGATCGACTTCATTGGCATTTTCAATTAATAGATGCACCAACTTTTCCTCTGTACATTTAAGCTGTCAGTATCTACTCCCATAATGACAAGATAGAGGAGATGGGGTTTTTTCCCCATATTTAAAGTGCTGCTGATTAAAGTTAAAATGGGATCAAGGATATGCTTTTTTTAACTAATGGAGATTTTGGATAATAATTATGAGAAGCTTTCATTTGCAAAAGCCAGTGTGATGCCTCACAAGTCTGTATTGGATGTAAATCTTGAGAAATGTCCTTGACTAGGGTTATTAGAACTGGTATGATTGGATATGTGACATTTTTAATGTAGACTCAGAAACAAACTGCTTTATTATTGAAAGGCTAAGATGAATTTATTGAGATGGTCTGAATAATTTTTCTGAAACAGAAATTCCACAGACAGCTGCTGTCTCTCTCTTAATGAGTTTCAGAGACTGTATAAAGAGGAAACCCAAGTCTTTGTGGAAAGTTCTGAAGAGATTTCTTTCTATTCTGCCTCACAGCCTGTCTCCTGAGAAGCACAACCATCAGCACTGACAATAATAAACACAAAACAGAAGTCTAGATTAAATACTGTGAATGATCTATGGCTTTGTTTTGCTGGTATGCACCTGAGGCTCAAGACCCTTTTGCAAAATGATGGAAACTCATCTCACTAACAAAAGTTACATGGTTACAGTGATTTGAAACAGAAAATGGCTTTATCTGTAACCTTCTGAGGTGGATTTTAAATTTCCCTTAAATTGAGGGTACTTAGACCTGATACTTCAGCTTAGCACCTTAGAAAGGCTGAGATCCACTGTAAATTAGGTCCTAGGCCAGGTTTATTTTTCAGGCATCTCCAGTCTGTGACAGGATGTTGCTGTTTGGTAATTTCTAAAGGAAAGATGAGTTCAGAAGCTCAGAGAGACACTGTAATAACACTGACATTGATGGGAAGAGGAGCCAGCAGAAGCCCTTATTGAGCATGAATTATAAGCCTTTTTCAGGTTCCAGGGTGCACAGCTGGAAGGCCATCTTCTTTTTCCTGCTTTACTCCCTCTTGGTAGCAGAATACAATTTCTACTTAATGGCCTTTCTGGGGTGGTAAGAAGTGTGGTACTTCTGTTTTGTAAGATTTCTGCAAATGCCCTGGGTCCACACTATTCACCCTTCGATGCGAGTTTCTTCTCAAACCAGCCTTTCCAGCATTCCACATTGTCAGGTCCAGCAACTTTAAGTGGCAGCAACTTTAAAAAACATAAAAGACCAACCTTCTAATGTTCAGAAGGAGTTAGGAAGTTCCAGACATGAGTCATAAAATCGATCTCTTCCACCAAGGAGACTAATAAGGCTGCATAGGTGAGTATAAGCACCTGTGAAAAGGCTCTCAAGGAAAAAGCATTAGAGAGGCAAAGGTGATAGCACATTGTGGAAAAAATCCATGTATTTCTGCTGTGGCTGTTCATAAAAGCACCCAAGATACAGTCAGCTACTTGGCTCACAGGTTCCAGGGAAATGTTCGCACAGCTGATATGCAGGAGGAAACATGTGGATCTCTGATAACATAATCCAATTTTTTGCATTTATATCATGTACAAATGTGCCCCCTGCCCTCATGAATCTCAGACAGAGTATGTGTTCTGCGAACTGGGGGAAGGGAGGGGAGATCCCAGCTCATCATATCCACATTAGGCTACCCATGGTAAAAAAGACTGCAAAATTTAAGCGTGGCCCCCAGCATTTGCTCACTGCCTAGTGCTAATCTCTTCTGTGAAGGCTGTGCACAGGGAGGGATCACAATCACAGTCTGTTTCTGCCAAGAATATAGTAAAACACAGACAGCACCGGTGCAAAATTTCCCATTAGTGCTGAAGTGAATGTCTGAGGTCAGGCTGTGAGAGAGGTGAGGCTGGAGGTCTCCTCCCCTTCAGGGACTGTGGCTGTTGACAGAACTAACAAACTGAATAAAGCAGAAATAACAACCTGCAGTCCTTCCTGCTGAAATAAAGATTTCAATAACCTGTGTTGCAAATGGCAATAATAAACAGTCTCTTCTGTTTCAAACCATTAGGAGCAAATATGACAGGGGTAGAAATCAGTCTTCAGAGCAACTGCTTACGTTAAAAGGCTTGCACAAAGCTACAGTGATGGAGGTTTGCTTTCCTCACAAGCCAAGGAAGCAGAAAGGCAAACAGGGGTTTGACTGTTTCCAGGCAAATGGGCTGTTTTAATCACCTTCCTTCTCCCTTTCTGTACGTCCATACGAGCGCGTGTGAGGACTTTGATGTGTGCGCGCTGTGCTTGACCCCCAGCCCACGACTGCAAGAGCACGCACCCACCGCGTGACCAAAGAGCATATCCAGCATCAAACATGGAGGGGAAAAAAGAAAAACAAGGCATGAGGCCCGAAACATCCAATCTGCTGTGCTCAGCAAGTTACTGGTTGTTATGGTAGTGACGCCATCGGGACTAGGAAAGCAGCTTTCTCTCGCAGTGGGATTATTGAGAAGATTATTAAAACATTTTCATTTAAAACTATTTGGCAGAGACTTCTGCATAACTCAAGAGGACATTTCTGCCCATATCTTCTTCCAACAGAGACAAGAGAATTTAAGGGGGAAAACAAAAACAAGCAAAACCCCATCGACTTTCCTTATGGCTACCAAAAAGGGTCTTGAAAGAGCTTGTCTTGTGAGCGAGAGGGACACCAAGAAGTACTCCTTGGCCCTAGACAGGTAACACAACTCTTTGTTTCCTTCACTGCCATTTCTGTCTCTGAGCAATAAGAGATCACCGATCTGCTGAGGGGCTGCAGGAGTTAAAGCCCAGAAAGTTTTACAGTGTATAAAGGGAGTACCTTTTACTACTTTCAAAATGTTTTGTTTGATTTTTTTCCTTCCCAAACTTTCTTATTAAATGTTTGAAGCATTTACTAGACAGCAGTCTGATGTGTCTGCGTATGTGATGGATTGAACCAATCTACTGTTGAAGCAAGTGTCTCCTGCTATGTATTTTATAAGCTTAGTAGATTTATTGTAGGATGCAAAACCTTATGGATTATGCTGCAATTTTAGGTTGAATTATAATTGTGCTATTGACATCATGTTTGATTCAAAGCTCCTTCGTGCTTGAATGTCTAAATTATCCATTTGGTTTGAAAGAAAGGCGATGCTTTATTCCTGTGGATGGTCTATTGGACTTAGAGCTGAAGTACCTCTCATGTGCCAGAGATCTTGTGAGTAAATGCTTGTTTGAGTAAAGAAAGATCCTCTGAAAACGTAAGATATCCTGTAGCTTGGGTTAAAAAATTAGTATAAATGTCCATCAGAAAATAGTTTTGCAGTTTAACTTATTCTCATTCTTCCTTTTGACTCAGACCAGAAAGTATTTTTAAAAGAAAATAGCTGCTCAGTTACAGCTTAGCACCTCTTGACATTTCCATTATCTCATTGGTTTTCAGGTTATTTATTGCCTGGCTCTCTTAAAACGCGTGGGACAGAAACTTGGCGTAAACACTGTCAGTTCAAATGGAAATCTGTCTCTCCGTGTTCTTATACTGGGGTCACTGCCATCATATTTTAGTCGTTTGAATGTCTGGGTTATTATTTAAATATTACTATGTGGCTCCATAAATATACATGGCACTGTCCAAAATGACTTTTGTGGTAATATTTATATTTCAGAAAAATCCCATATGATTCTGCAGTTCATTTTAGTTACTGAAGACCCTCAGAGTTTTTTTGAAAGTTTGCAGTTTTGTGATCAGAGCTTCAGTGCTTGAGGTCCTTTGGTCCCTCACCACCTCTGGACACCAAGGACAATTCTGGACAAACCCTGAGACAGGGGCAATTGTTAGGTTGCCTTCTGAGGAAGCCCTTGGTTTCCCTGGATCACTGGTAACAGGGAATATTCCTGGTAAGAAGAGAGGTAGGATGCACACCAGGGGAAAGAATACCTGGCAGCTGATCCTCCCCTCTGAACTGACTCACCTTCTGGAGGAGTTGATTTGTTTCTGATAATTATTTCTTAATTTAGGGTTGAAGTTAGTTGGGGTGAATCACTGCAGCAATTGCAATTGTTGGGCTGATGACTGCAGCTACCTCCAACAGCCCCTGAGCTGGAGGGATGGTCCCAGGAGGGTTTCCCAGTAGCAGTCCTGAGGTGGCTGAGTGATAGAGGTGGTACACAGCTCTCCAAAATGAGGAGGACTTGTCATACAGCCATGTGGCTTTTGTGCTGCACCTCCATTTGGCTTTTTCTGTCAGATGAAATCTGATTAACTGCACAATCTAATTAGTCTGTCAATTCCCAGAAATAACCAGAAATAGGGACTGAGAGCCAGTCTCCCTCCTTTTGGGAAGAGCTGGCAGCCCAGGGTTAGTCCTGCTCCCCATTACAACCCAGAATTGCAGGTTGCCAGCCCAACTACCTGGGGTGCCAGCCCAGTGACTCAGGGTGCCAGCCCACAGGTCAGAGCCAACCCATCAGGGCATGTAGCCCACTGGGCTTGGGCTTACACAGACCAGCTGCCTGCACAGCTTCAGGTGCCTTAAGCCAATCAGTAGCAATAAGCTCATCTTAGCCTTTGGTATAAATTAACACATTTTTCCATTTCCCATGTGTAGGCTTAATGAACAGCTCTAATGCTTTCTACAGACTTTGTTTTGCATACAGGTTGCATATTTCTTTGCCATCCTCCAGCTTCTTTCTTTTTGATATGTGCCATCATTATGATACACACAGAACAAACTGGTTTTATCTTGACCATGTGAGTAGGAAGCCTGAAAGCAAACCCCTTTCCTTGTACTTAGGGCTGAGGAGGGTATTTTGCACATGCCAGGCCTTCTGTAGTCACTAGCAGATTTGGATGCATTGAGGTTTCCCAAGCTCAACTTGAAAGGCTTACAAGAGGATGGGGTTTAACTGAGCCCTCTGAAAAACAGACCAGTTGTAAGCTTGAAGAATAATTCACACTGGAAAGGACCTCAAGGAGGTCTCTGGTCCAACCTCCTGCTCAAAGCAGGGTCAGCCAAGCGATTGAACAAGGTTGCTCAGGGCTGTCTCTGGTCAAGTCTTGAAAAAAATCTCTCAGGATGGAGGCTGCACAACCTCTCTGGGCAATCTGCTCCCATACTGAATTAACCTCACAGTCTTTTTTCTTTTTTTCCTCATATTCAATCTGAACTTGTTTCACTTAATGACCAATGACCTCATTCTTCCTCCATGCACAGCAATAAAGCTCCATCTTCTCAATAGCTTCCTCAAAAATATTGGCAGGCTGCAACCAGGTGCTTATGGAGCCATCTTTTCTCTAGACTGGACAAGTCCAGTCCCTGCAGAAGTGCTCCAGCCTTTAACCATCCTAGTTACCCTCTACTGAACCTGCACCACTTTATTGATCTTTCACATTAGGGACACTAAAACTGGACACATTCTAGATGTGGTCTCACGAGTCTGTCTGTCCCATGTGCATTACTTTTGATTCATCCATCCCTGTAAAATTTCAGAAGGGCCCTGTTGACCCATTCCTCCAGCCTGCTTATGGCAACCTTGTCCTCTAATCTATCAGCTGCACCCTCAGGTTGGCATCATCTGCCAACGTGACCAGGTGCACTACACCTCTTCCTACAGGTAACAGAAAAAGACATTACACAGGATGGGTTTCAGGAGAGGAGACCACTTCCCACCAGCCTCGAGGAAGGGTATGAACCATAATGATAACAGGGTCTGAAGCTGAACGCTCAGAACCTCCCTCTTCATGCAATAAGTGTTGCCTGTAAGTCATTCAAAGAGATATTTGTATCATCTCTCTTTAAATTAGGTCTGAACTAGGTGTCTAAGATGGTTTTCCATGGTCTTTTCATCATCAGTTATGGTGGTAAGAGAGATAAGTTTTTCCAATGATTAGCCATTTATTATGCTATTTTTTTATTTATTATCACCTATCTAGTGATCTAGATAACCACTTATCACAGTCTAGATAATAGCTCAACCAAATTCCTGAGGTTTCCAGGAATGAAGACAGGCCAGATGATTTTATTTCTTGCAAGCAATAGATCAGTGTAATATTAAATCAGTGACTATTCAATATCCCACTTCATAAATCTGTGAATTTACCTTTGATTGTGCCAGTTATACTGTGAACTACATTTTGGCTTGATTCAGCATGATTTTCTGAATTTCTGATTATGTCCTTTATATGTCATTATAGTGGGAATTTGAATACCATCACACAGTGAAACTCAAGGCTTTTAGTCTCAAGATTTTGAGTTTTATTCTGTCTCTGAGACAAGAGAAAAAAATGAGTGGGGGACAATTCTGAAAGAAAAAAGATGTGTTAAAACCTTAGGGCTTGTCTTCATGCAAAAGTTTTAACACAGGGCATTAAGGCGACTCGTAGATATTGCTGCCTATCAGTCTTAGGCTCATGGTTGATTCCTGTCTGCCAGGCTCATACCAATAGGCAAAAGTCTGAAGCGAGCCTGGGAGATGATTTCTTCAGGTAAAGAGTGATTTTGTATAGCAAGCACGTAGGGAATATTTTCTTCTTTTTTTGCCTTCCTGCAGGCAATATGAAAACTCTTACGAGATCAAAGAGTCCTCATCAAATAAAGGCTTTCCACCACTCATTATGCTTTACAGAAGTCAATGCTTAGGAAAACTATAGGCGTTTTTCGTGACTTCTGAAGTGTTTTAGCTGAGGGCCCTGTGGTTATATCTCCTTTGTACTGGCTTGCCAGCTGGTCCCAGTAGCACATAGTATTTTAGCAGACTCAGCAAAACCAATCCCATTGCCTTTGCCCTCCTGTTGATAACATTAGGACCCTGTAGAAAGGACTAATGTCTAAGACTGTGTCTGCCCAGTACTGGCCACATGCCATCTCTATTATGCCCACTTCAATTATGGCCACTTCATCTCAGCAAGAAAATTAGAACCAAGATAGTAAGTGGTATGAAACAGAAATTAAATGGCTAGGGCATCAGCTCAGAAAATTGATGGTTCAGAGGTATAACAATGATACATAAAATCATGAATGATGTGATGAAGGTAAACAGGGAATAGTCATTCATTATTTCTAACAGTACAAGAACTAATTAAAATAGCAGGCAGACAGCTTCAGAGTAACAAAGGATGTATTATTTTTACACAAATCATAATTAAACTGTGGAACTCAACACTTTCAAGTCAGCTGGGTTTGTGGAATAAAGACCTGTAAAGGGTTGTTAGACAGGAACTCTGGTTCAGCCACCTCCCAGCCTCCAGTTTTGTGTAACCGGGAAGCAGTCCCTCTCTGGACATGTTCATTTTTGGTACTTTGTCCTTATGTATTCCTTCATGATCATGACAGAGTTTGGATACTTGGCTACATACACCTTTGGTCTATCTCTGGGCAACTACTGCTTTACTGTTTTGCAGAAGGAAATTTATTGACAATACATTTATATATACGGGGCCAGGCCCTCAAAATGTGATTAAATAAAATAACCAAGGCACAAATTCCCAATTACTAGACATCTAAATGTATGTAAATATATAAATATTTGCGTTTATTTTGTGCCCACAATAAGGAAAATGAGAAACTGGACAGCCAGGCTATTAACAGGGTCTTAAATGCCTTGGAAATATTAAAAATCAAAATCGGAATTGTGCCAGAATAAGGAAGGTGACTGTGGCTTTGATAAATTTTTCTCTGAAGGCAGTTTCATTATCCTTTCAGGCACCAGAAAATTACTATTTTCCCTTGTGAGGGAGATGATCTCCTGTGGGAAGTGCAGTGATTCCAAATTTTGCTCTTTTGACTGGGGAACTCATAATGGTCTAGGAGGATGGCAATTATTCCCATCAGCCTGCAGATCAAGGCACCCAGCAGATCAAGTGAAAACAAACAAAAGGAAGTTGTAATAAAAAGCTGTTGCTAATGATTTGTGTGGAATCTGCACTATGTATTAATATTTTTTACTTCCCCCCTTCTGGGTATGACTCAGTAGGAGCCTTTCTCTGACATTCCCCTGACTATCTTTTTTACAAAGAAAAGAGAATTCGAAATGGAGAAAAGATTATTTTTTTAATCTGTGACTCTGTAATGTGCAGGTGCAGAGATCTGATACTCAAAGGCTACATCTTGCTCTAACACACTCTGAAGGGGTTTTTGGTTTAACAGAGCTGATCTTTGCACCTTAAGCTTTTGATTCATGCTTTTATAAAATTGCCTCTTAGATTCTTTTAATTAGTGGCAGGCTGCTTTTGGAAGAGAAAAATAATGCACAGGAGCTGGCAGGAGTTTTTGCAATTCATCAGGCCAGATGCTGTTCTGTGAGTTCAGTGAATGCTCGCCACCTCTGGCAACTGGGGCACTTTTATTTAGGTGCCCTTTAGACAGAAAAAAGTGACATTTGTGGGTTTATGTTTTTTCTGTTTGCTTTTGCATCTGTCCAAAAATATCTGTGGATAGTGCTTTCCTGCCCCTCTGTGATGCCCCATGGTTTTGTTAGCTGATAAAGAGACCTGAAGATTAAAAAAAAAAAAAGGGAGGGGGATCACAGATCAACCTATTTTGTTAACAGCGAGGAAAGGATTTGGTGGCTCAGAAATATGCAGCTGCAGTTTTGCCATCCCTGCCCTGACAGGCTGTTGAGTTGATCGTGACTCATGTAATTAAGATGACTTTAACGTTCAATGCCAGCTGATGAAAATTGAGGTAAGGGGAAATTAATTTTACATGCAAACTGTAGAAAAGCATTGGAAGTTAACTCCAGAGAGAGATCACGATAAAGAAAATCTTGCCTGCCCTGATCTCCAGGGGAGAGTGAGAGAACTGCAGCATTTTATTCAGCCATCTGGAAGGAATTAATTTGTGGTACCTTCTGTGTCTAATTCATCAGGAAAACACTGTACAAAAGTGACACAGAGCACATGAGGACCCTGATGAATGTAAAACTAAAGGACTGGAGAAGGACTGGCTAGTGGGGACCCCAGCTGCCAGATGGGCAGCCCGTTCCCCAGACAGCCCAGCTCCCATTTATTCATTGTTGTGAGGAAAATAAAGAAAAATCCTGACAAAAGGACTAAGAAAACTCACTGTCTCCAAGCACCAGACATTAAATCTGACCAATTGCTCTTTCACACAAGCTCCTCACATACAAGGGGAATCAGTCGCCTTCACTGAGCAAACAGAGACCACATGCTAACCAGGCTGGGAAACGGGCTGACTCAGGGGAATGTTTCATCCTTGGAACATCTCAATAATATTTACAAAACCAAATCCACACTGATTATCTACAGTTGCAGGGCTTGGTTGCCAAGGTGGGTCAGCTTTTCTCCTTTTGCCAGTACCTCTGTGGTGCTGATGAACACGAAAGGCCAAGGCATCCATATCTCTGCAGGTGCCTTTGCCTCTCGCCCATTGATTTGGGGCATCTGGCAGGACTTCAGACCCGCTGAGCAGCTGCAGCCCTCTCAGGCTGCCCATAAAAAGCAGCTGGAAAAAGCCTGTGATTTCAGTACAGTTTTTTTCTTGACATTGACTACTGCAGGTTGGCAGCCACCAGCTGATTTCTTTCCAGCAAGATTTTAGGCATCTTGACACTTCAATGATAAGTGCAGAAACACTACAGATAGCCACTTGGATCCATCTTACTTCCTGGAGCACAGGTTTCCTTCACTTAAACGATTCTTCTGTGCCCCAAAGGAAAGTCTGAAGTCAGAATGGGGAAAAGAGCCTGTTATTACTGGGGCAGCTAAGCCCAGTCCCACATCCTGCACCCAGGCTAATTTCAGACTTGAAATAAAGCAGTGGAGTTTGCTGTGTTCCTGGGTAGGTCCTGCACACACAGACCTCAAAGAGCTGCAGCTCATGGTTATATGTATGTCATGTATGTGCATCTCAGCAGAATTCGCCTTCTGATGCCACAGTCTCAATACACGGTTATCACATCAGGAGTAGCTCTGGCAACAAATGTTTTATCTGGAGAGATGTAATGGTTTTCAGTCGAGCTTTCTAGGATAGAGTGAGCCTTTGGGTTTTTCTCAGTTGAAAGGTAAAGAGAAGGGAACATCCTTGCTCACCAAACCACCCTGGTGGCTCCCCTGGGGCAGTCTCTGGGTTACTTTAGTGAAAGCCCCAGATGCCATGGTAATCCAGGAGCTCCCACAGCTGTAATGCGATGGCCCAGGACCTCTCTATCCCCACTATGTATTTGCTGTGCAGGAACCCTGACAGGGAAAACACTGAGGCTTTTTGGCAGAGCAGCTTTGGCTGGGAAATGACCTTGTGATGAAGAAATGCTTGAAGAGCCACTTTTACTGAACTTCTCACCGTTCCATGAAAGCAGTGGCACAAAGGGGTCAGCATACTATGAAAAAATTATTTCTTTGATTTTTTAAATACCTTTGAATTTTTTGGTCCAGTATTTTCTATACTCAGGTTCTGCAGGAATATTGATAGTTTTTGTACATATCTGGAAATTTGAGATAAAATAGTTCTGTATGTAAAGAAAGGAGAGAAATATCTTTAGCCATTTATATTTGAGAAAAAGTTTTAATTTTTTTTTACTGGTCTTCCTGACAAAGCTATTGGGAATAAAATCCTGAATTTTTCAGTAGAATTGTCTCCATGATATGCTGAATTTGGTAACTATTTGCATGAGGTACAACTTTTTGAAAATCATATGGTGTGCAAGAAATACACAGCCTAAAAAAGCCACCCTGCATTTCATAAACTGCTAAATGATACAGGAGAGCCCAAAGAGCTGGGAAACACAACCAGAGCAGTCATTTCATGTGCAGCTCCCTCCCACAGAGACCTGCTTGTGTGAGCAAGACTCTTCTGTGGCCTGTGCTGCTGTTTCCAACTCTGCTTTTATCCTTTGAAAAAATTAATTACATAGTTTCTGAGTCTGCAGGGCTAGAAGCCCAAATAACCAGGGTTTTTCTTTTTTAACCTCTGTTTCTTTCTATCCTGAAGGATGAGCTGGCTTCAGAAGAATTTAAATGAAGATAAGCAGCAGCAGGAAGCAGAAGTTGCTGAAGCTAATCCAGCATATCACTGTCATGGCTACTCACAGGCCTATGAGAACAGAAAGAGGGAACAGCATCAAGCCAGGAGGAAGCTCTGTGTAGCATCAGTAATTTGCATCTTCTTCATGATTGCTGAGATAACAGGGGAGTATGTGTGTTCAAAGAGAGCTCAGTCTGGTGCCCAGCACAGCCACATTCATGCCTTCTCTATACACTGTGCCTGCAGGGACCCACAGTGCACAGAGGTGAACCCACCTGGGATTAAATAAACCTCCTTTGTCACTAGTCATTAAAAGAATCATGGGGGAGGGGTAGGGGGGGGGGTTAAGTGAAATTATCGAAGTATTTTTATATATTCATTCAGGGATTGCATCTGGGTAGGAATACAAAGATCAGTTAATAGTCTGAACTGTTCTCCCGGGTCTTTAAACTTGACTAAAAGTGACTAGCATGTCTTAGCATCATGTCACAAAAGGTTGCTAATAAACTGGATTTTTTTTTTTAAAGATTAAAGGATTTTACATATTCATCCAGGCCAACGAGACTCAGCATTGATGAAGGTTACTAGCAGCATAATCTGATAATAAATGCAAGAGTCTTCACAAAATCCAGGGAAATCCAGGGCCAGATTTGCCATCTGTTTTTCTACAGTTAAGTCAATGTATTTATATCGGTCACGTTCATTTTTTAAATTGGCCTGCTGGAGTGTCTCTGGATCAACGGAAGATTATTCCCCTACCTAATTAGCTTTCACTTCTGGACCCATCCTACAATATCCAATATAAGTATTTGGCTTGCTCATAGAGAATTAGCTTTCATTTTGTCCCACTGATCTGCTCTCTCCATGGATTCTGTGATATTTATATCCACCTGATAGTTCCTGCCTCTTTAACTTGCCCTTCTCCACAGTGAGGTGAGGTAGGGGAAGGCATGAGGAATCCCACAGACTTTTGCCATATGTGCTCCAGGTGATGTAACAAAAATCAGCCAGGAAGGCCTCTGAAACCCATACTTTTCTAGCTCAGGGACCTCTGGAGCCCCATGAAAATGAAAGAGAAAATCTTTGTCTTCCCCACAGGTGAGAAGTGGAGGCACTGAAAGAGTTGTTGCATTTCTGCCTTCTCCTCTGGCTGCCAAACCCAGCAGGGACTTCTCAAACTATTCCCTCCCACGCTCTCCGTCTGCATGAAGCCCCATTGTTTGTAGGTCACGTGCATTTCCCCCATGAAAACCCATGCATATTGCTAATCCTCATGCAGTAATTTCCAGTGCCAGAAGTAATGCATTATTAACAAAACCATATAATCAGTAAGCTTAAGTTTGGTGAATGCAGCAATGCTAGAGGATAATTGGAAGGACAGATGATATGTTAACTAAATGTTTCATTTTGCTTAATGAATCATACAGCTTTTTTGCAGTGACAGCTTAAGTAACAGGCTTGAAGACCATTTTGCTTCAGACCATTAAACTTTGACAAACCAGTTATTAACTGCAGTTACAGACAGCACTCTATGGAGATTTTTGTAATTATGAACCATACATTTAATTTTTTTAATCATTAAGCAAGACTGCCTCTGCCTGATGATTGACCATTGAGTGACTGACAATTTCTACTGCTTGTGGTATACAAAGCTATAAACATCCATTGTAGGGAATAATAAGCCATAAAGGCCCCTTGTTGGGAGTATTGATATAAGGCAGTAAAAGCCTATAACTATTACACAGGCTTTACTCTTGAAAGTAAAGGATATGTTCCCCTTCCTTCTACTCTAAGTGTAAACGGCTTCTGTGGGCATTATTATGTTAAACGGAAGAAACAGAACTGCATCCCTCTCAGAGAGGTTGAAACGTTGTGCTTCTTTGAATGCCTAGGTATTTCCATGATATTTTCACTCAAGCCATCTCTGCTGGCCATTACTGCTGTCCCAGAAGGGCTGAGCCTGATGCACTAACTGTCTTTGAAGGACAATTCTCTTTCATTCTTCTAAAGCAGACCCATCACAATCTCCATAGATTTGGAGATATCAGTCAAACCAATAGCACCCAATGTAAAGCCCTGATATGAAAGTAGTTTCCAAAGATTTTTAGTGGCTATGGACCAAATGTGGATTTCAAAGTACTTCATTTCCATTTGAGCACTAGAAAGAAAGACAAACCCTGCTTGCATCCTCATGTCAGAACAGAATATAAAGATTTGACCAAGGCGCTAAGATAAGCAGACTGAGATCTCAGAAATTCACCCAAGGCATTAGTTACACCAACAATACATATAGTAAAAATTTGCAAACATTTTTCAAAGGTAGAAGGCTAGAAGCAAGCTTTTGAGATATTGTCCCACAGAATATGGAAATACAGTATCTAAAATGCGATGGGGTTTTTCATGCAGCTTGTGTTTTACATATTTGTTTACTGAAAGATAGCTGCTGCCTTGGTTGTTAACATCTGTGCGCTGTCAGACAAACCTTCTTCCCTTTGCTATGCAAAACTGACTCCCACTTGAGATACAGCTACACTGTGTACAGTGAAAGTCTAAGACCTGTGTCATGACCAAAAAGTATATGTGTATTTATACCTGTGCATGTCCTGGGAAATATCTGTTCTGCTGAATTTTTCCTTTTACTGCAAGGAATGAGGTGCCCCCAAATTCTGCAGCCATGCTTCCTCCCTTCTGGGAATTAGCTTTCAGGCAGTTGTAAATGAGAGGCAACAGAGAAAAATAATATAAGCCTTATATGTGCAAAATACATTCTCCTGTGGTGACAAAACATATGATGTTTGGTATTCTAATCTAAAATATGCATACAGGAGGAAATTAAACAGACAGTCCACCCTGCTGGCATGAAGACCTTGCATCTATAAGGAAACAAGAGATGTGCCTACATGTCCCTTTGACAGTGGTATCCTGCCAAAGGTTTGAATGAGTAATTTTACGAAGTTTGTCAGGATTCATTGATTCTCATATGGATTGTGGTTAGGAGAAATGGGTGAGCTGAAATTAGTTAAATGACTGAAGAATGTAAATGTATTGCCAAATGCAGAAACTAGATATTTTGGCTCTATTATTTCACATTTCCATTTTTCTACATTTACACTCTGATGAAAAGATTCTCCTGTTGTAATGAGTTGGCAGGACATGTAATGAGTCCTGCCTGTGATCCTTGTCTTCTCCTACAGCAACCAGCAGTGGGGGTAGTTTAGAACAAACTTTTAGTTCATTTGGGCTTGCCCTTAGCCCTGAGACACAGTTAGAAGAATTTGGCAAAACAAGGATATTTGGCTTAGTGGGTAAAAGAAATGTGGATTACAATAACCTAAAACGGTTTGAGTTTGGTGTTTGGGGTTTTTTCTTCAGAATTTACACCCTGGCAAAATAAAATTATATTCAGCCACATTTTTTGAGCTTTAACAGGAAAATTAAATCATGCATTACAGATGAAAAAAGATAGATTAGTCCTGAAAACAGAACATTTTTCTCCATGCCCTCACTAAAATGGTTAGTTGTTTATCACAGGCCTTCTACTGGGACCTTTCCATGTATTCCTGTTTTACTGTTTCCTGTGACAAATAAACAGTCAGGCATCCAGCCACCCAAACCTCAGGAAGAACATGCATATTTTCCTATAACAAATAGGAAATGAATCCCATAAGCTACATCTGTGAATGTTTGGACATACATAAAAATATCAGTGTTCTGTGAAAAGATAGTGGGACAATACTGGAAATGTGATTCTTAATACGGCTTTTCATGAACAAATCTGATACTAAAATAGTCACAGTAAAACAGTTCAACAGTAAAATAACCACAGAACTAATGTATCACAACTCTTATTGTTCTTAGGTCTCTCTTTCTCACAAAGAAATTTGGCTTATGTGTTTCTATTAATTCATGCCTTTTATTACATGAATGAGGTAGAAAACGAAACGATCTTTGAAGTGGTTTGAGTCTTGTGTATGATGACTGAAAATTGAGTGTTTCCTCTTATTCCCAGCAAAGCAGGTCTTGAGTCTGATCTGGTTGACTCAGACTTCTGACCAGAGCGATGATATGGAAATGTGTTTCACACAGGTGGGCAGATCGCTGGGAGCCTGGCAGTGGTTACGGATGCAGCACACATCCTGGTGGACCTGACGAGTTTCTTGATCAGCCTCTTCTCACTGTGGCTTGCCTCCAAACCTCCTACCAAACAACTAACTTTTGGGTGGCACCGAGCAGGTAGCAAACATCTCACAGTATGAACATGTGGAATGGGAAAGGAAGATTATCATAGCCAGGGACTGGAAAACGTGCTGATGTCCAACACAGTTCTGCAGACATTTAGAGACAGCGCACTAATGCTCTCAAAGCCCCCAGGACTCAAGATAAACAGAGTAACACAGTGAGCTTCAAAGAAGTAAAGAGCATCTCTTATCTACAAGTGTGTCTTTCAGATCACTATTTACTATAGTTTTGGGCTGGTGCTAGCTTTGGCTGAGGTAACAGCAACTTCCCTCATTGAATTGAGTGTGAGGAGGACTAAGCCTTCAACAAGTAATGATAGAAACACAAGTTTCTATCAAAGCAGCGATATCCATAAAAATGAAGGTTTCCTCTATTTATAAAGAAAATTATTAAATTATTTTAAACAGTCAACTTTACATTTGTAGAAAAGTGAGATCTTTTAACATTTACCCTTTTCTAGATCCTCTCCCTGCAATTCTCTTTATCGTTGCTTGTTTTTATCAGATGCAAACACAGGCAGATTTTTAACATACTCTACCCTTAACCAAAATCAACATTTTTACCAATGACACCTAATACCAAAAGCCTGATAATCAAACACAAGTGTTTTTACAAAGACAAGACACCAGCAAAACATTAACCATGAGAAAAAGTTTCTCGGAGTATGAGTCTGTTCAAGATTTAGACACCTAAATATCAATGCTACACATACACAAGCACATACAAATACAGGGTCTGGTACATTCAACAGAAATGTAGACTCCATTCAGGTGCATAAACACAGAAGTGTAGTGCTACATCCCTAGAATGTCTGTCTTATGCATGGGAATGACAGCTGTCGCACAAGTCCCAGAGGAGACTGCACAAGGATGCCAAGCACAAGACCAGGGTATCTCAAATGTGATCAGACGCTCATAGTTAAGAAACTAGTAAGTGTTCCCAGTCAGCCAATGGAGTAATCACCATTAATTTGACATCCATTGCTCATAAAGGTAGCTTAGCTCACACCTGCAGGTAGACATTTCAATTTAATTGTCTCAGTCTGGAAGTGAGTCTCCTGCTGGATGTCTTGGGACTCAGTTTAGTTGCTTGTATGTGAATGACTCGTGCTGTTTGAAATCCAGCTGCCACTCCAGAAGTCTATGGATAAATTATACATCTTGTGTCAAGCCAAACATGGAGATGCCAGTGTATCTCAAATGACTCTAGACACCTGTGCACCTGAACCAAGGACTCAGGTGATAAATACTGAACATCAGGGATGTTCAGTATTAAGGCCCAGAAGCAGCTTCTGACTGAGGATGTCTGTAGGCCAAGGTTGTTTGTAGCCACAGAAAGTACCAGGGAAGACATATGCCATGCTCATCCTGTCTTTATGTAGCTCCCTAAGTATATTCTATCAACTCTGCTGGAAACAAACTGGGTGAGAGGAAAGTTCAGTATTACTCAAGCACTACTGGTATTATAGAGACAACACACAGCTGAATTTTGCAGCCTTAGAGAACTCCTACTTACCATCAGTAAATCATTCATAACTTTTTGTGTTTATACTCTCTTAGCCTGGGGGAAAAAAAAGTGAGAGACTTCTCTCTTGCTGATGTAGGCAGGTTCAGCCACCTCATGTAACTTCATCCTCAGTCTGAATTATATTATTTTTTTTTCATTGGAATGCAGAAGTTCAAAATCAATCCTTTCTTGCCTTTTTGTCTGCAAAGAGAGCCCTATATCAAATGTTAGAGGCTACTTAATTGCATTCCATGATTGCTATCCTGTTTCTTGCTTATTTTCCCAGTTATATTTCCAGTGTAATATGCAGATGGGTACCTTAATAGAGTAGCCAAGGGCAGTCAGGTGACAAAGTCACTCTTCACTGACTACCGAGGTCTTGCAGGTGCAGCCCTCCATGATACTGGAAGCTGTTTGTTCACTACTTCTCTCAGACTGATAGATATTGCCATGAAAAGACTGTATGACACGGTTCAGGTTTAGCAGAAGCCATGTGAATGCCTCCTGCCCTCCAAGCCAGAACCAGTGCAGCTACTTTCAGCAACACAGACTGAAGACGAAGCAGTAAGACTGATAGTGTGAGCCAAACCTACTTCCAGGTACAAAAACTCTCTTGCACCTCAGTTTCCCTCTGCTATGATTCACAGATTCCCACACAATCCTACACTATTGTTTGCTGTACTCTGTCAGTGCTAGTAGTTCTAAAGAAATTTAGAGAAAGAAATTTAAAGAAACTCTGAGAACTGAGGGCTGCGGAACTGGTTTGTAAACTTAGCTAAACTTTTGCTAAGATAACACATTGAAAATTAATATGTATTTTCACCTATGTAGGTAAAGATGAATTCTAACATATTCTGTTGTGGAGGATATGCACACATCCACACAGATATGAACACAGGTGTTCACAAAAGCTGTTGGATGCTCTCATGCCCATGATAGCACAGCCATCAACGCCTTCAGTTGGGCCAAATTTGCAGTTTCAAGCTCTAACCTGCAGGAAAAAAATTGTGTGCTTTATTTGAGCTTCTCTCTACTTTTAAGCAACACTAGATTCCCCTGTCAGTGCATTTTCATTTGTTATTTGCCAGTTTTAAAAAAAAATGGTTATTTGATAAGTATTTGGAGCCTGGACTGCTGCAAAAAGGGTGACCCTCATAAAAATATATTCAAAATCATAAGCTGTTTTCAGGGATTGTCAGTGGAATTCTGTGCAAATGCTTTCTGGCTATCTACTTCCTTTCACTTTACTGTGAGCTTTCATTTTCCCTGGTACTCTCTCAGTTGTGTTCACTTACCCATTCAAGTCACATGGCAACTATTAGTCCCACATCCTATTAGAAGCATGCTGCACATTCATGTGCACTTCCCTGGACCTCTCCTATGGCAGTGCAATAAAAGGTGGCCTTGGGGACTGGATTTATTTGAGCCCAACTCAGAGCCAATAGAGACAAAATTAAATTTTGCTGCCCCAGGGAAAAAATAACTTCTTTTGTTCTCATTACAGCTGGTGGCACAAAAATGATTTTGTGGCACTGGCAGGATGAGTTCCAGGATAAGTTTTGCTGGCAGGACCTCTTTGGGGGCTGTTACTGCTTTTCTGAACTGTGAAGTGATAAGAAGTGTGCAGAAAGAGGGGAAGGTAATGGACAGGGATTATGTCTGCCAGTGGGTTTGAGTGAGCCGTGCCTTTCTCCTTCCCTCCAACTTCTGCTCCTGTGATCAAGATAATCTTGTTGGGGAAGGAGGGCTGGTCTTTGGAGTTTTCACATCACACTATCGGGGCCAGGAAACTACACAAGATATGCTCTTTTATCCCTCCTTCTCATTATAGTTCTTTTTGCTCCTACCAGAACTGCCCAAATGATCTTTTTCATCTCTCCAATTTCTTTGAATGACACATGAACTCAACACTGAAAAGCAGCCAAAAGTAGGGGCAGGTAGAATAGGGTTAGGCTATCACATGCATAAGGCTGCCCTGGGAAGTCATTGGATTTGCTATGACCAGAAAGGGGTTTAGCCCATTCTTTGTATGCATTGTCTGCCAGCACACAAGAAGCCAGTCTCCTGGCTATAAAGCTCAACAAGTCTGGAACCATTACCATCAACATCTTAAAATTTCTTGCATTTCTGTTCTGACTGTTACAATCAGATTGTTTTAATTCCTAGAAATTCTGGGAGCTTTGATGTCTATGATAATTGTCTGGATGGTGACTGGCGTGTTGACATATTTGGCTAGCATGAGGCTGCTACACCCTGATTATGATATTGATACTACAGTGATGCTCATTACCTCCACTTTTGCTGTGCTCGCCAACATCCTGTAAGTTATTTTGTTTTCCTCTCCATATAATATTTGAAACTTGAGCCTGCTGCTGTAATTCGATAAAAAACTATATAGAGATATTGGCCTCAAAAATATTAAGTACTTATGATGTTCATGAGGATATGGAAAGGAGTCAAGAAGAGAGATCATGCTTCTCATTGAAAGTTGCAGTTGCTCTCCTACTTTCTGTTAGCTGCCACACTGTGAAGGCAAAATTCCAGGAAAAGATTAATCTCCATCTCACTTTTTATTCGATGTCAGAATATTCAAGAACTCTGTAGAAAATGAGGTCTCATTAATTACCCTGTTCACAGACTTTCTTGTTTGTATGCAAACCAGTGAAACACGCAGGAATTATCTGCTTAGCCACTCTGTATTTCTACTTAATGTGTCAGGTTTTACTGTTCAGCATTCAGAAGTGAGAGGGGTGATGATGTGTGTGACATCACTGCTTTCAGAGATGTAGTATATCGGCTGGTATTTGCAGCTTTACGTCTCTTTCAGAGTAAGCCTGATTCTGCACCAGACCGGCCACGGGCACAGCCATGAGGCACAAGCCAGGGAACACGTGTCAGCCCCTCGAGAAAAGCCAGCTCTGAGCAATGCCAGCTTGCGGGCAGCCTTTGTGCATGCAGTTGGAGACCTATTCCAGAGCATTAGTGTGCTAATTAGCGCACTTATCATCTTCTTTAAGGTTAGTTTTATTCGTTCACTTGCCTTCCTTGCAATTAAGGATAAGTGTTACTTTCACAGCATTGTGATGTCGGGTACTCTGTAAATATTTCCTCTGTCTTAATGATACACATTGTAATTTAGTCAAAGAGAACTATACTTGGGAACTGAAATGACTGTTGAGAGTGTAACACATGCTTCTTAGTGTTCCAAGCGGATACTCCAGTGTCTCTCCATTTTGTCGTTTGTAGCACCTTCATTTTCTGTGCTGAGGCTGAGGCTCCCTGACAAAGGAGGCCAGCACTCATTCTGTACTAGATGAATTGAATATATTATTCTTTGATATTAACTAATTAAAAATTCCAATAACCAACAAAAATGAAATTAACAAAGTGATGTGTTCATATTTTTCTAGCCAGAATACAAAGTAGCAGACCCAATCTGCACATTTGTGTTTTCCATCTTTGTTTTGGCAACTACCATCACCATTTTAAGGGATATTTTGATTGTGCTAATGGAAGGTAGGACCTGATTCCAGAATCAATAAACTTATATTTTGGGGTTGTTTTCTTCTATCTCTTTCTCCATAATGCTTATATGTGCTGAAAAATTATAATAACACACTTCTAGATCAGTTTCCAATATTCTTAAGATTCTGATCATACTTTACTTATAATTTTAATCAAAACTGCTTTCTGTAAACTCTAGGTTTACACATATGCCAGTTTTTGTAAAAATCAGTGTATTGGTGTTTTGCTAATGAGCTCTGAGTTGCTTTTGTCTGTCGTATGTGCAGCATTGCTTTTTATCACCCTTTTGGCATATGAGATGCCTGCTCACCTCATTCATCGTGTATGTCCTTTACCTGTGTGAAATAAAAGTCTTCGTGGAAAAAAAAAAAAAAGAAAAAGACTGTGCCTTGAACTGTTTCTATTAAATGGACTGAGTGCAAGAGACAGAAGTTTGAAAGATTTTTAGTTACACCAGTTAGAAAAGCAAGCTATCGGACCTTTCCAGTCATGTTCAAGTGCACTGGAATAGACAGTTCTCGGTACATCAGCAGCAAGAAGAACTAGGCTTAGCAATATTTAATCCTGTCAGCTATGGGCTTGAACATTTGATTTGTAAGGCCAAATGACTTGAGCATTCACAGAGGCATGTTTTTGCCTTCCTCACACTGAATAATATAATGCAACCTCCTTCTTAGCCATGAAAACACAAGGATTAAAGGGAAAGGTAGCTCTAATGGTGCAGGTTTTTAATGGGTACTCAGTATGACTCTCTGCATGGCTATTTACTTCTCTCTTTCACTTTGCACCTACTTCTGTTTCAAGAAATAATGTTTTCAATATTGTTTTACAGTAAAGCTTCATTCTAGCGTTGTTTTGCTTTCAGTGATTGTGAGATAGAGATACATCCATGTAGAAGTGTACCTAGACAAGGGTGCAGCAACTGGCTGTATTCTAGCTGTCAAAAAATCAGAAGATGTCTTCATTACTGAAAACAAATCAAATTACCAGGAAGATCTGGCAACTCCTGCCACCCCTGAGTCTCTTTCTCAGCAGTGACTCCCAGCTTCCACAAGCAGTGCTGACATGCCAAAATCACAGTGCTCTGATCCCCCTTGCAGCAAGACCTTTCACACTGTCCTCCTGGAGAGGGCTCTGAAACCAGGCTCCTCTCTCCTAAATAGCATTCTGCCCAGAATTTTCTGAAGAGAAATTGGGTGTTGGAGCTGGTGTTGGAGGTGGCTCTTATCTCATGCATCCAGCCTTGTCCCAGACCATCAGCTCCACAGCCCCTGTGACTGACTGTGTCATGTAGGTACTGACTGTCCGTGGTTTTCTCTAAAAGAGCATGAGCATGTCAGCATCATATTCTATTAAGTCAGTACTCCATATAGCATATCATTCTTGTAATAAAGGGATAGGACAAAGCATACAACACTGAGGTCATTAACAATTACAAATAAGTATCAGTTAAGGTATGAAAGACAAAATTAACCAATACTGTGCTCATCATTATTATACTTCATAACTGGTGGAATTAAAAATATTTTTCAGTTTACTGATCCAAGTGGATCATGATGAGCATCCTAGCTCATAGCTGCTCACATGCATTTGCAATTTCCCAGGCCTCACTCCAGGGATGATGTGTTGTTAAACTTCTTATTCAAATTTGGATTTAAATTAAACTCTGAATTTCATGTTGCAACACATCCTGTCACAATTGTCCTCACTCTGAATGATGGTCATCACCATCATGTATTGTAAGAAGGCTTGTCTAGGAAAACAACCACTGGCTACTCAATAACCAGACCTGGGATCTAATCTCATTTAAGATTCCTGAGTCAAACCATTTTAATCTTTACATTCACCTTTCCTTCCCTGCTAAATAGATGCTTCTCTATTGTGTGAATGTATTGAGGACAAAATGCCCCAGAGGTGTTCAAATGATACCATAGAATCTGCACTCACAAAATATGTTGGTGAAAACTAGGACATGTTCTGGCTAAATAGCTCATCCTATGTAAACTGAATCCTCAGGGTATCTCCTAAAACATGCATGAGTCTATACCTTCCATGTACAAGTGTATAACAAGAGATAGGATTAAATAGCACAGTGAACTCTGAAATAGATGGGCTTTCAAAGCATTAAATATTTTTATAAAAATTATACATCTGAAGTGAATAAAGGTTCATGATTCATTTTCCTCTATCAATCATCATTTCTATTCCTTAAAATATTCTTTTCCCATCAATTTCTTCTTTTCAGGAACATCAAAAGAATTTGCATATGATGAAGTGAAAGCAAGAATTTTAGCAGTTGAGAAAGTGGAGTCTATTCACAACCTTCATCTTTGGTCTCTGACAATGAATCAAACTGCTCTGTCTGCTCACGTTGCCACAGGTCAGTAAATTTCTGTAAGCAGGGAGTAAGTATTCAGCTGCTGTCTAGTAAAGGTCAGTCTTTCCTGATTTGGATGAAACTGACTGTATATCAGTTGCTTGTTAAAAAACTTGGCATGATTTTGTTGGAAAAATAAACCCAACAACAATAACGAGAAAAGCTCTCAAATCCTCCTCTCAGAAATCTTGCCAAAACAACAGGGACCTCTATTTAGTCCAAAACTTGAAAATTATAGAGGCTGTGAAGCAAGGAAGTAAACCACAAGGTATTTTAAATAAATTAGAAGAATTAGGCTCAGACTGGATTTTTTTCACAAATAGATTCTGGAGAGGATTTGTCAAACTTGAAAACTGTTGATCCCTATAACAAAAACTTACAGGGCAAATCTGCATTGCAGATGCATCTCTAGTCATAAAACAATCTTTAAACATAGTTTGGAATGTAGAGAAAACTCCATGGGAATAGTTAATATTATAAAATATTTTTAAACTGTAATTCTTATCCCAGTTGACAAATTGTGCACTACCCAGATCAATATTCTCATCCATATGTTTGCTTTGTATATATTAAGGTCTATTTAAGAAAAAAAATCCACCTGTATTTGGCCAAGGACAGGTTCAGTGGTGAAGTCCTCCATGGTGTCCCCACTTCCCAAAAACAGAGAGTCTATCAGCCACCCAAATCACTTGGCACTGCTGCTACTCTTTGACTGGATGAACTAATCTTTATTAAGTATTTCTGCTTTCCTCCAGTCTTCTGCCAAACTGAATTTCTATGGTGATTACTCTTAGCTTAGCTCTTGCCAAAAATTGCATATTCCAACCACATTTGAATGAACAATCTTTTGCTGACATAGAGGTTCCTGAAAGAAGGATAAAAAGGACAAGAAACACTTTTCAAACAAACTTCTTGGTACAAGTTTCTGTCAGTAAACATTTACTTTTCTTTGAAGTATTATAAAAATGTATGTAATTTGATTATTTTCTGCTTGCTATCTATAGCAGACACAACGGACAGCCAGAAGATTTTGAGAGATATTACCCAAGCCCTATTTGAGCACTACAGCTTCCACTCCATCACTATTCAGATTGAATCAGGAGAGGATCAGAAACAAGACTGTATCTTCTGTCAAGAGCCCAGGGACTAAAGGGAGCAGTACTCTGTGCCAAATAATGATTACCCCTCTTACAGGTCAATGGAGACTATATGTGCTGGTTTATGTAACTGATTAACAACAAATGGCAATTAACTGACATAACAAGCCCTGCCATTGCAAGCAGTGCATGGTCCTTTCATTGCTGGTATCATCTACCATGAGAGAACATGTATTGGATCCATCCATCAGCCAGATCGCCTGTCCATCAGCAGTTTCTTTCAACTACAAGAGAAATTTCTAAATTATTCTTGACTAGAGCAGCAGATTGGCATTAAAGCAACACTTAAAGAGTGGCTGTTTGTAATTAAAGGTAACAAAAAACTAATCGACCTTCAAATTACTAACAGGCCAATTATCACAAAGCATAATGAAATGTACTTTTAGTGTTAGCAAAGCTCAACATTTACTGAGGATGAAAGAGAAAAATTAAATTACCACAAGGGATGAAGGCATCTGGGAAAGAAAGTGATGGTGGCATGTGCTTTCCCTGCCTTTTGGCAGACACTCCTCTTCCTGATACATGTAAGTATCAGATGTGTACCATGCTCTGCAGCGTGGATCACAAGAGGATTTACTCCATTCACATTTGGCAAATAGCTCTTTGGTTTTTTAGCTAGCCCTGTTTATCTTTCATCTAGCCGTCAGGCAAACTCTTTCTGCCAGACATGAGCAGTATTCTCTACTGTCAAGACAGCCCATAACTCATATAGCACTGCATCGTGATGAGTTATGATAGAAGATTTGAGGTGGACTTTTGTGTGTCTGTGTCACAAGGTACCACTGAGTCATGACAATAAAACAGATCAGGTGCTCTTAAAAATGAAAAAATAATTATGGCAAGGGAAGAATGGGGCCCATTCTGAACATCCTGCCTAGTGTCATAGTTCATGGTACAGCGTATGGGGTGTTACCCAGTAACACCATATCCTGAAGTTAAAAAAGCTTTTGGCATGTCACACAGCCATTCGCTGTAAAGGGAAGAGAAGCATCTCTCCTTCAGGTAGCTAATTTCCACATTTCCTAACAGGATGTGTGTTGTGGGTTAGGAATGGTATTCCCCAATTTTATGTTCCTACCAAAACACTCCAAACCACGCACTGCTAGCTCACTCCCCCGTTTCCCTTCCCCCTCCCCTGCAGCCAGATGGAGAAGAGAATTGGAGTCACAAAAGGTAAAGATTATGGGTAGAGATAAGAACAATTTACTGGAAACAGCAACGGAATAAGAAAATGAACAGTAACAGCAACTATATTAAATGACAGAGTGTAAAGAGGTGAACCGTTCCCAAGCGAGTGCTCACCACTACACCACGCGTAGACCCCCAACAATACCTCACCGTGCCACCACACTACATGACCTGTACAGAACCCCTTCCCCTGTCCCTGGAAAATGTTTTGTGGTGTTGTTTTGATGTGAGGTTATTTGAGAATAACCTCTGTGTCTTAGCCATGCCCCCTCCTGGCTACCGCAAAAATCACCCCTGTCTTGGCCAGAACCAGGGTGAAGTGTCAAATTTCCCTCCTTTTCATGCCTGAACTTTGCCCCCTTTTCATGGCAGAACTTTGAACAGAGTCAGGTCTTGCTGTGCCTCTATTTTTGCCCAAGCAACTGAATTAAACATTCACCTGTTAGCAAAAGGAAGGGTTGCACTTCAAAATGTATGCTCCAGTGCTTTAAAAAACAACTTCAATTCTGCCCCTGGCCATAATAGTGCAGCTTTGTTTTCTCTGTGGAACTGGCCTAATGTTTTGCCACTCCACAATCCTCTCTCCAAGAGCTGTAGGGCTCACCTTACTAACAGTTTTGTTAGAAAAAAATAAATTATGTCATACCAAGCAGTACTGAGTTTCTAGACTGACAGGTGGAAGAACCATTGTGTTATTAAGGTATAAGTAGGCCTTGCTTTTTAGGGAATTAAGTTTTATTTACAATAGGTTCACATTAATTTTCTGTTTTATCATCCTAATGAGGTTAGAATTTATTATTGGGACTTTTGGCTACATGTAACACATAACTATGTGATGATGGATTGACGTATTAAACTGGCATTTGTTAACTGGTAGGGGGAACAAGAAATTATTCTGCTTTGTGGAAGATCTTAGTCAGGTAAACCTCCCACTGAAATCAGATGAGATATTAACGCAAAACACCCGCTAAGAATTTCATGAGTATCTCATTATTTACCAGCTTGAAAGAACTGAGACCACAGCAGCGGTATTCAGTACAAGGATAAAGGCAATTATTGCCCTTCACAGCTGAAACTCCAGAAGATAAGGCACAGATAAATCAAAGCACAGTAAGAAATTCTAAATGGAGAAGTTAACTTGTATTTTGGCTAGTTTCTCTTCTGGTATAATTTAGCATAGCTATCTCCTACCAAAGGCAACTCAGCTGTACTTGTTAGGTAACCTGAGTATTCTTTTCATTAGTTAGGGAGAACAAGTTAATAGTGTGGCCTTTATATGAAAAAAACTATCTTTCCAAATGTTTGGAATAAAATGAGGACACAGACCTGAATATAATAGCGACTTCTGCAGCACAGTTTTATGGTCAAGGACAACATAAAAGATAATGAGTGGGTGACAGAAATGTCCATATAGGACACAGATTCAGTTCTGAGTTTGGGTCAGGGTAGAGAAAAAGACAAGAATTTTAAGAGCAATAGTGGATCTTGGAGAAAATTTAAAGAGAAAAGTGATATGGTCCATGAAGAAAGTTATGCTGAGTAGTAGAGGTGTGGAAAAGCTGGATGGAAGCAACATAAGAGCGATTGGAAAAAAGAAGATGCAGCAGTCAGCATGAGGACTGCTGAGGCTATCATGCAAATTAATTGAAAGGATGGAAAGTATTTCATTATGTTTTGGAAAAAGGAGCAGTGAAATACAGAGATACAAGGAAAGAAGGAGGTAATCCAAAATAATGATACTTTATAAAAAAAAGTGAGGGAAAGTTGTAAAAAGGTTTAAGAAAGGACTGAGGGAGCAGCTTCCATCCACAGTAATGTAACCTGGGTATGGAGTAGTAAAGATCAGGGCAGGAGTGGGGAGGCAGAGGAAAAGTCTGCGTTTGTTAGCAGCAGTAGATGTATTTCAAGCAAAAGAATTTAACCACTTATCTTTAGCAAAAGCTAGAGACCTAAGAGAATTTTACCTAAACATGATAGATTGAAGATGAATTTAGAGCAAATATTTACCTGTAGTTATGAATATTGCTCTAAGGAGCTGAATCTTTAATGCTCCTGCTATGTATATGAATGTATGTTTGTTCTTCCTTCCTGTCTAGTTTGATCCTCAGGGATATTATCTTGGTACAAGGTTGTTTTCAGAATACTATCTGACTGGCTGAGAAGGATTTCTGCAGAAATGCTACTGCGATATACAGAGGCTGAGAAGTCAAGAGACAATTTCTAGACTTGTCTGCTTTTATTAACTTTTTGTCCTTTTGATTGTCTGAAAAATAACTACAAGAAAACTGACCAAAAATTGCTATCTCTAAATCATTCTTGGAACTACTGTGAAATGGAAAAGGGTTTGTCATGTAAGTGGTCAGTTTTCGAAGCCTGACTGGTTTTTGATGGAGTTCAGTTCATATGGGCAAGTACATGGCTGTACTGGGTAGCCCCTACTGAAATGTTATGAACATAAGTACATTCATTTTCCTCTAAATTTTAAAGTAGTCATTTCCCAGCTTGTAAATTATATATTTGTCTGGTCCCCTAAAAGTACTCTCTTTTTCACTTTCCACAAGGATAAGGAGTTTGTAGAAACAAGACTTTTTGGAGTAGAAATCATGAAATGAGCAAATGCAGAACTTTCCTCTTTCAGCACTGACAAAGAGGCTAAGTGCCAATAGTGTGCTGAGATGACCATCAAACAATGATGGAAGTATTTATAATTACTTGAACTGGGACAGTTAAGGCACAACAAATCTGTCATTTACACCAATGGAATGATCTCTTACTGTAACTAAAGCCATAGACATAATTCTGTATTCTCCTCTCTGAGATGTGATTATGAGAACTGCATATGAAATCGAGGATTATATTGCCTACTCAGTGTGAGAAATCACAACAGTAATTCATCATCTCTGGAGGAAAGCAAACAGATATCCCCGACCATGGCAGCAAATAGTGGCCTAAGCAACAAGGACTGTGTAGGTCTGCAATATGGTTCTTTTCAATGTCAAGAGGTTGTATCAGTTTTTGCTCTCAATACTTTTTCCTCTATTGGAAAAGCTAGTATGCCCCAACACACCTTCCCCAGTGCCTTCCCCCCAGCCATAGCAGATGTGCTCTCCTTCTTTTTTTCATCCTCTTTGACTATTGTTCCCTTCTTCTTTGCTCTTCTGTTTTTCCCCACTTGGCTTGTTTCATCAATGCTCTATTACCTGCCTATTCAAATTTCAATGCCAGCATATACTTACATATCCTTACATATCCTTTCTGTTTATAGCCCTTCCCATTTCTCTTCATCCTGTGTGTTAGATAAAAGCTCCTCAGAAAAAAACCTGCCTTTTGCTCCATGTTTGTTGAAAATATGGCATAATGAACTTTTTTCATAACAGGGACTTAATAAAACCAAAGAGAAAAAACCATTCCAGCCATCACATATTGGTCCATGTCAAGCACTCATATGTTCTTACTTCTTACTAAAGTAATTTAGAACTTTCATCACCAAAAAATTATCTGAACTATCTCCAGCTTATGATATTCTTTCATGTTCTCAAGCTTTCTGATAATCTCTTTCAGCTCAGAAAAATAAAATCCTTTCTCACCTGAGTACATACAGTTTAAACAAGAAAGGAATTAAAGACATCCTGTTGCTTAACTGCCTCCTTCAACTTCTCTCTGCCTGGACTTTGTGTCAGACAGTCAGTGTCTAGGAAGAGTGCACTGCAGCAAAGGAAGCTTTGGATAGCAGCCTGGTGGGAACAGTTTCTGGAATGGGAGCACAACAGAGGGGTTACTAGAGAACATTCAGAATTTTCCATCC